GAGAACTCCATATCACCCCAAAACACCGCCCCATTTTGAACTTGCAACTGTCAGAAAATTCGCCATGGAAAGACCCTAGCGTCCGTGAAAAAGTCCTCATCTCTCAAGGTGATTCTTCAAGGACAAACGCAGACCCAAAGGACGGGCAACACCATATCACCCAAAAAATTACCGGCCGATTTTTCAACTTGCAAATGCCAAAACATTCACCAAAGATAGTACTAGCGTCCGTCAAAAAGTCCTGACCCCCTCAAGGTCATTCTTTAAGGTCAGACGCGGCGTCAAAGGACGGAAAACTCCATATCACCCAAAATTACCAGGCGATTTTAGCCTGCCACTGTCAGAATAAACACAACAGAAAGAACTAACGTCCGTGAAAAAAGTCCTGACCTCTCAATGTCAATTCTCAAGGCCATTCTTTAAGGTCAACGCGGGCTCAAAGAAAAGGGAACTCCACATCACCCAAAACTATCGGCCGATTTAAACTTGCAAACATCAGAGTGTTCACCTTGATTATTGACCTTCAATAAATATTGACCTTGAAAATGTCAGGACTTTAAACAGACGCCAGTTTTTTTTTTCTGTGGGGGAACATTCTGATATGTGTTACGTTGGAAATCGGCCGGTAATTTTTGGGTGATACAAGTTCCCCGTCCTTTGACCCCATGTTTGACCGTGGAAGGGTGGCCTCGAGAAGTCAGGACTTTCTGACGGACGCTAATTTTTGTCTGTGGTGAATATCCGACATTTGCAAGTTGAAAATCGGCCGGTAATTTTTGGGTGATAGCGAGTTCCCCATCATTTGAGCTCGTCTTGACCTTTGACCTTGAAGGACCTTGATATGTCAGGACTTTTTGACGGACGCTAGCTCTTGCGCGTGTGAATATTTTGATGCTGATAGTTCTCAAATCGGCCTTCGGTTCTTTGAGTGCTGAATATTCTTACATTTGCAAGCTGAAAATCGGCCTGTAATTTTTGGGTGATATCGAGTTCCCCGTCCTTTGACACAGCTTTTGACCTTGAAGATCACATGATATTGCAACGTAATGGCCATTTTTGATGTTCTCATACCACATTGACCTCCAAACCTTCTTTCAGAGAAATCGGAACTCGTCGCTGAATAAATCGCTAACTTCACGGAAAGTCAAGCTCAAAGAAGCTTGACTTTCCGGCTGACCCGTGCATTTGAGTAGACTGCTTTTGCAGTGATGACTTCACTGCTCCACCCCAATTGCCACCTCTACGTTGAAGAGCCACGGCCAACGATGGCTAAGCCCAATGAGAAAGTTATGCTGCTTTACCAGGAAAGAACCGAATCAAACGCGGGGCGGTCTGTCACTAAAGACACTGCCTTGGAATGACGGCTGCTTCCCCCGTATTTCCCGACATTGGTTATTTCCGCAGGTTTTCGAAGTTGGTCACTCCGAAGGTACAAGAAAAAGATAAGCAAAAGGCTGATGCACATACCCGTCTCCGGCTGTTTGCGTGAGCGCAAAATGTATGCCGCAATACCCAAGAGAGCCCTGGTTCTCACGCTCTTCTCGTAAACCGACACCAAACAGCTTTCGCCGAACGCACGAGACACAAATATGCAGATCCCGCTTACTTAGGTCATTAGAACTATTTAAAATGTCCCAAAGTCAGCCAGATTGCGACGGGCTGTCTGGGAACGGGACCTCTCCGCGCGATATATTCCGGTGCAATCCCGCCGCGGCTGGGCGACATCCCCAGAGCTCCGTCCCCCAGGCGCGTTATAACCGCGGAATTTTCAATTTCACTGTCATTCATGAGCGACCGCCGCAGGCCGCGGCGGGTTGAAGCGCTAAATTTAACCTCGGCGGCGCAGGCTGCCTGTGGTTACGGCGGCTGGAGGGCGGGTCGGCGGCCGTCGTGCCCCCGTCCGGGCCGGCGGTGTCACCGAACCGCAGGGCCGCGGGCGAGCCGACCTGCCGGTGGAGCGCGGCGGCTCGACCGCTGCCTGGTGTCGTATGAGCTCGGTACGTAGCACGAGTGCTTGCGAGGAGTGTGAGAGGGTCCCACGTCACCGACCGCGTGACGGTCTCAACCTGTTTGTGTTGAACGACTTTGAGTGAATGAGCGTCTGGCCGCCATGAACTTCAAGGATTTCAAAATGACCAGCGTGGGTATTTCCAAGCGTTTTTTTTAGCATATTGACCCACAAACGAGCGTCCGTCACGATCCGCGACACGCTCCAGCAGATCGCCCAGGTAGCGGTACACCTTCTGCGATAGACAAACACCTTCTAAGTTCGTTCGTTCTGACTTGCTGACTCTGGACGCTGACCCTCGCTGACCAACCACTGACCCATCGGGTACACATGGTGCGGATAGCAGAGGCACGCCGAGCTCTCCTCTGCCGCTCCACCTACGTGACGATTGTTTGTCCCGATGGCGCGCCGAGCTCTCCTCCGCCGCTCAGCCCCACGTGACGATTAGTTTGTCTCGCGGCACGCCAAGCTCTCCTCTGCCGCTCCACCTACGTGACGATTGTTTGTCCCGCGGCACGCCGAGCTCTCCTCTGCCGCTCAGCCTACGTGACGATAGTTTGTCTCGCGGCACGCCAAGCTCTCCTCTGCCGCTCCACCTACGTGACGATCGTTTGTCCCGTGGCACGCCGAGCTCTCCTCTGTCGCTCAGCTTACGTGACGATCGTTTGTGCCGCGGCACGCCAAGCTCTCCTCTGTCGCTCAGCCTACGTGACGATTGTTTGTGCCCCGTGGCGTGTTCTACCGACACCGGCGAGACGACCGACTCCGACCGGGCGCCAGAGGCAGGCGAGCCCACAGACCGGAGCCACAGGCGGGAGCGACCGTCCGCCTCACGGGGGGCGCCCCTTAGGAAGGATGGAGATGTGCATCGCTCCAGTCTGAATATTGCGTTAAAAATCGAAGCGAGTCGGTGATATTCGGCCGTCCAAGGCGAAGGCATTCCACCCTCTTCGCGCGCTGTTCCCTTCCACTGACGATATTAAGGAAACTTGACATACCATGGATGTGTCCCGGCATATAACGTTACGTATAAGGCCCACACAAGTCAGTACAATCGGCCCACTCATCCTGGCGAACCTAATTCATCCTGCGATGTCCGACAGGTGGTCACCACGAAGCTCGCAATAGACGGCCAGGGGCCCATTTGTCGCATTCCTGCTCGTTTTTCCCAGAAGACGTATCTACTAAGCTATGTAAGCTCGTATTGTTTAACTTATCTAATCTATATCATCTCATCCATCTAATAATCTAATCTAATCTAGCATATCCAAGTAAAAGCATCGTGGTACTATCTAAGCTCGGGCGATACACTCGTCAACAACGCAAGGCAGCACTTGTTTACGCGACAGCGTCTTGATGCGAGGATGGTGGTTTACGAGAAAGTGAAGAAAACAGGGTATCAGGCAGCAACTGTAGGAAAGCCGTCCTTCCAAATTGACTGAATACAAAATAGCTGCATTGTTGCTTCTGGCAATTCGAAAATCCACACCCGTGTTTCTTCTCCCTCGCGCCACAGAACAGGTTGCTCTGAACATAGTAGCGGTGGAGGGGACTGTGCTTGCCCACTTTGTTGCCAGACGGCTGACCGCTCCTTTCATCCAAGCGCGGCGTTCATCCGCCCTCCAACAGCGCAAACGATCGTCAGCACCCCGAGGGACCAGAGGCTGGCAGCGCCGCCGTCGATTCCACGAATGTCGTCACGACTACCCGGCGCACAGAGGCACACGTTAGTGTCGGGGTGGTCTTGTTCCTCCACACACACAGTTTACGCAGTCAATACCAAATGCCATGAAAATACTTATACACATTTGTTTTTACAAAGTGTTCAACTACATGTAAGAAGAAGGCCCACCAAAAGCATCACAAAAGCACGTGCTATAAATCATATAGTTATAGCTCTCTGGGTAAGAATTGCCAGCGTCCGGCGGGAGCTAAAGCGCCCGACGGCGGTGGCGGGTGAAGAAGCGATGAGGCATGGTTACCGGGGTGCGCGCCAACAGGGGAGCCTCCGTCCGCGTCGCACGGCGACTGAGAGCCGGTCCCGGCCCCGTCGGACCAGGACCGCGCCGCCGGCGCCGCGGCGGGGCTCACGTCGCCGCGTGTCCACATCAACAAGGCAGCGGGTAACAACTAAACGTCCAGCGCTAAAAGAAGATAACGTATCACTCTGGCGGCGGGCCGGCGGCGGGCGACCAGGGCCGGCGGCGGCCGGCGGGCCGCCCCTACCCCACCGCGCCCGCGGGCCGCGGCTGTAGACGGGCCCGCCGGCGCACCCCTCCCTCGGCGCCGCCCGTGCGGACCGGAAGAGCCCGGCCCCGGCCGACCCGAGCCGCACCTCAATAAAAAGCTAAAACCGTCTGGGGTAAAACACGCGCGGCCGCGCCGGCGTCGGGAAGGGGTGCGTTCGCACCGCGCTCATATTCGCCACGCGCTCGATATGAAATGTACACATAGAAAAATAGCCGGGCCGCTCCAGGGGCGCGTCCGTGTACACCCACCCACACACGTGCACACACAATCGGCCTGTCAAGTGGCGCCTACTTGACAGCGGGCAGGGCCCTGCTGCTCTTGCGCGCCGGGCCGGCGTCGTCGGCCTCATCCGTCTCGTCCGCCTTGGTCGCGCGAGCGCGGGCCTCGCGCCGCTTTGTACTGCGGAAATACTCGGTGATCTGCTGCGGCGTGGAGCGGCGGCCGCCCAGCACGGCCGCCGGCGCCGGCTCGTGCCGCTTGCGCGGCGGCACCGCGTTCGTCTGCAGCGTCTGGCGCGAGTGTCGCTCCACCGCGCCGCCGCCCACCAGCGTCACGCTGGTGTTGACGCGCCGCACGCGCGTCGCCGGCGCCGAGGCGCGCGTGCGCCGCGTGCGCGCGCCGCCCGTCTGCGCGTGCGTCAGCAGCGCCGACCAGGAGGGCGCGGCGGCGGCGCGCGCGCCACGCGTGCCGGCCGGCGCTGAGCGACTGCCGCCGCCGCCACCGCCGCTGCCGCCGCCGCCACCACCGTCGTCGGCCGAGCGGCCCGCCAGCCCGGCCGGCAGAGCCGCTAGTCATCTGATGAGGGTCGTCTTGGGCGTGTGGCCGGCCGGGCTCCGGGAGCTGAAACAGACGGCCGTCAATGTCGGTCTGGACGCGACAGGCATTGACGAGCGACACTAGTGCCCGACGCTAACACACAGAAGCCGGTGGAGTCCGCGCGACGGGAACAGAACAGGTGGTGCCGGGCTGGTGACCTCGGCAAGACTCGAGCCGATGTCTGGGGAAACATCGACAAAACATTCACGCGGACACATCTCCGTGCACGAACAAAACGCTTTGTCTCTGCGGGTTCCGCCCGGACGCTACGACTTTGCACAACAGCCCTGACACTGGTTCGAAACAACAGCGGAAGCCCACCAGAAGCATGCACGACGAGCAGCTGCCGACGACTGAGCGGGCGGGACGAGGACGCCATGTTACCGATAGCCATGCAAGGGGCACATCAAGAGAAAAAAAAACGCACAGCGTGACTCGGGTGGCATCGCATCACACGCGTCATGCACTGTGCAGCCGGAGTCAAAATACACCGGCGACAAAAACCGACGCTGAAAACCGCCCGCCAAACGACGCCACGGGAACTGAGCGCCAGCCATCCTACTTGTGACGGCCAGCACCACGGCAGCCAGCGCAGTGCACTGCAGGCAACGGCGCGGACAAGCGACGCGCGGCCGCCGGACGGCGGACACCGAGAGCCCAGCCGGCGGCGACGCCGGCCGCCACTCACAGAACAGCGCGGACGCCGGGCGGCCGCTCGCCGACCGGCCATCCGCCGTCGCCGCCGCCGCCGCCGCTGGGGCGCACGCGCAGCGAGCGGCGCAGGGCGCGCGTCACCGGCCGGCCGGCCGGCGGCGGCAGCAGCGGCGGCGGCGCCGGCGGCGGCACCGCCACCGTGCCGTACACGGACTGCATCCAGGCTCGTCTGGCCGGCCGCGGGGAGGGAGAGAGGCGCAGTCAGAGGAGCCGCGGCGCGCCGGCGCTCGTCGACCGGCGGCGGCGGCGGCGGCGACGGACGGGCCGCGGCCGCCGGCCCGACGCCGGGCTCGGCTCACCACCACAGACACGCCACCGTCCCAGAGAAGGGGAGGAGAAGAGCCGGGCCCTCACTGTCCGCCCGCCGTCAGGCCGACCGAACAGCCGAACCGCCCACCGACCGGCGGGCGGACGGGGTCAAGACCTATGCATGATGAACGCCACCACCAGTTATCAGCTCCGTAAGGCGAAACTGCAGCTTACACCGTTAAGACGGAACCGTGTGAGAACGTGGCCTAGCAGCCGGTCATGATTTGCTCGCGATTTTCACATGGAAATCACCGATAAATCCTTAGAAAGTCGGTGAAACTTAGCAATTTATGGTCAGTGTCCACGACACACCAAATGAAAAGCGCTATAACCTGCAGCTTCGCCTTACAAAATGGGTCAGTCACGATGAGTTCCGAGTCCCACAAGAGCGCACCACCATGCGCATGCCCACCACCACCCGGCGCTACCGCCCCACATGACCGTCAGCGACCCGGCCCGCGTCCGTACCTCCTGCTGGCGCTGGCGGCGCGGCCGGCGCGCGCGTTGGCCGCCGCCTCCGTCCGCTTGCCGGACACCTTGGCCGCCTTGAGTGGCGAGAGCGTGCCGCCGGCGGCGCCCGACACGGCGCGCAGCAGCTGCGAGGACTTGGCGCGCGTGTGGCCCGCGTGCTCCTCCGATCTGGCGGCGGCGCGGGAGCGTGTTGATCACAATGGCCGACGCTGCTGGGCGGTCACCCATGCCGGCCCCAGCCTTGCAAACCGTTCGCCATATGGACGGAGCGCGTACTCGACCGGCAGGAGAGCATTCAAAGGCGCACCGATCTTAAGTTCGGAAGCCGCGGCGGCTGGCTTCCGAAGCCGTAGTTCGCGTTCCACTCACGAGATGGTGCCGGTGGTGGCGTTGCGCGGGTGCTGCCTCAGCGCCTTGATGCGAGTCAGGTGGTCGCCCTGCGTTGCCTCGCCGTTCGTCTCCGGCGGGATGTTGCTGTTGACCTCGTCCTGCGGGGCAGCGCGCGGCGGTCACCAACGGCACCGGCAGCAGGCACACGCCGCGTGACGTCACAACATAAGCCTATCAGCGGCGCGATACATCTCCATCAGCGCCTCTTCCCGCCGAGCGTGTGCGGGCCTGACGGCGCGTCTGAGCCCGTCGGCCAGCTCACCTGACGTCACCGTCACCGCGCCGGGATCGCCGCCACGGCGAGCCCGACAGCGCCAGGATCGGGAGGAGAGGATGGTGGAACGGCCGGCCCGGCCACCACAGGCCGACGCAGCGGCTGGGATGGAGCGTGGACTGGCGGAGAACGGGCGGAGCGCGCCACCGACCGCTGCAGGACCGGCGCGCGCTCCGGCCGCAGGTAAGCTGAGTGTCGAGAGGCAGCCGTGCAGGGTGCAGGGTTAGTGGCGGCGGCGGCCGAGCAGCTGGTGGTTGGCTACGCACGGCATGTCATACACCATGGATGCCTAGATCTTTCGACATCATTCCGCCAAGGTACAAGCTGTTAGGAGCGGCAAAAGAGCTATGTCAATAAGACTTTCAACAGCTCAGAGTAGGCCTCGCTGGCGAACCCGGCGCAACCCGCCGCAGTTAATGCATGACGGCATTCCACGCGGCAGGATTGCGATCGCTTAAACATTTACCAGCCGGCGCCACACTTCCGTCTGCAGGCGCACGCTACCCGGCCCCGTCAATCCCCAGCACTTCGACGGCTTCCCAGCCGGCCCGACGACCGCTCCACCCATGGGCAGAGGTCGCCGCCGGTCGCCGGTCGCTCCGCCACGGGGGAAGGCGGCGGGTGTCGCTCACCTCCTTGCGCAGAATCTCCCTGGTCTGGTGGCGGCCGGCGCCGTCGGCGCGCTCCTCGGCGTCGTTCAGTCGCATCAGGTCGACTCGGCTGGAGAGGATCCGACTGATGTCCTGGGGCCGGCCCGCTGCGGCGGAGGGGGCGGCACCGGGTCAGGCACGGACGGCGCGGCGGTGGGCCGGATACCAACACAACGTCCAGTCACACAACACGACAACGGGGCGACAAGCACGGGGACGACACAGTACCGGGTAACACAGGCGACACAGGGCTGGGTGCAGACGACACTGTGTCAGGTACGGACGACGCAGCGCCGGGTACCGACGACGCGGTGTTAGACACGAACGACACAGGGTCAGGCACGGACAGGAGAGCCGCACACAGACAGCACAGCCGGACATGGTCAGACATGCGCGCCGGCGACAGGGGGCAGCGAGCAGAGCCGGTGTGGCGGACCCAGCCGCCGCAGACGCACAGACAAGACGGCGCATCACACGCGGCTGAGCCGAGCCGAACACCGCCTCAAGCGCAGCTGTACGGCGGCGCGGCTCATCGTGCCGGGCAGGACGCCGTCCGACCCAGCCGCCGTCCCGTCAGACGGGACAAAGGCAACGTACTAGGCCAGACGGAGCAGCCGCAGGACGCTCCAGACGCGACGAGTTAGCCCCGCCTGACAGCACCCGCCCCCGGCGCCACGAATAAGTCGGCGCGGTCGGTGTCAGCCGCTCCAACGGGCCACGCAAGCCCCGTTAATCACCACAAAGCGCCCTGGTGCCGTGCACCGACCGGTCACGTGACCAGGGACGGATCGCGTTTCCCGCGGCGGCCCTAGCGTGTGATTAGGACATACGCCGATCTGCCGCGGTTGACAGCGCGCCCATCTGGCTGCCAAATCTGGATGGCCGTCGCCGCGGCTCGAGGCAAGTCGTGATCCGTCCTGCGCTCAAGACGGACTGCATTGGCCCATCGATTCTGCGAGCACCCGGGACGTAACACACACGTTTCCAAAGTCCATGGAGCTCCGGTTGTCGCGGAAATGGAAACCGTGTTCATGTCATTATATATATATATATATATATATATATATATATATATATATATATATACATATATATGAAAAAGGGGTTCGCCATGGAAATGGAATGAAAGCCATTCGCATACGGTCCATTTCATGGAGTACTTGACTGGTGTTAGCAAACACGACTTGACTGATTGCATCATTGTGGCCGCGCAGTCTTTGGCGAAAAACTGCACAGGAAAACCACACACATGAACGGGTGGGAACTGGGTAATGGGACAGGCCGTCACGCCAAATAAAGGACGGGTGGGGCAGGCGAACGGAACAGCGAACACGGAACGCATTTGTCACGATCCGAGACGGAGTTCGACAGGACATGGACAGCCGCTATGCAGTCGCCGTAGTCACCGGCGGACTGTGGCCACGTGCAGAAGCTACCCAACATCCTGTACCGCGCAGCGACCTCACCGCTCCGCTTCGCAGCAGTAGTTGGGCTTTCGGACGCTTCGACTGCGCGGTCCTAAAGCGCTCAATCACACCGTTCGGTTCAATGTGTGTGCAACGTGTTCAATGGCGGAGGGGATGAGCTTGGAACACCACCGCTTTTGGTGATCGCAGTAAAAAAACATTTGAAAACACGCTGACATTTCGAGTGAACACTCGTCATAATAAATTGGGCCGCGGGCCCAAGTGACCCGACCGGCCGAATTAGGCCACATAATCTATAGGGCACGGCATTAGCCCCCGGCGCGATGCATTGAAGGCCGGTCTCGGAAAAGGTGGCACAGGTCGCCTCCCGGTCTGTTGCTGGTGCGCCTGCGTGTCTGGACGGTGTCGAGATCGCCCGGCGGTTTGCAGGCGGCATGTCCGCCTACAATGGGTCACCGGTCTCGCGTCTTTGCCTACCCTGGCTGCCGAGAGCCAACATCAATCCCTGAGAACGTCCGAGAACGGGTGCGGCCATGGCTCGCGCACGACTGTACCCGAGAGGCTGCACATGACCCCCGTTTCTACCTGTGCGATCGTTACTTTTCCTCGATTAGCATGAGTTAGTTTCATGTCGGCGGGACGTGTGGCCGCCGGGAACTGGAGCCGTCGCCAACCCTCCGTCTTCGGCTCCACTCAATATTCCAAAATTGAACGCTTCTCATGTTACCCGAATGAGGAGGTGACAGTGGCGATATTGCCACTGTGCAGAGATAAGTCACCAACCGAACGGTCTGCATTTAAAAACCGCGAAGGCATTGCAGTACAGCGCCAACAGCATTGTGCTATTTGTTGACGAGAACTCCGTGAAGGCTTTACCAGCGGTTGCAAGGATACAAGGCTGTCAAAGGCGTGACGGTCCGTGCCGGGCGATCGCAACTAACAAATTGAAAACAAACCGATTAGCTGACGCTAAGCCCTACTTCGTCTGCGGGCTAGCCCGTAACAAGCTGGGTTTTGTGCCGCGGCGGGCCGGTAGCTCACGCGGGGCCCCGGCCCGCAGGCATTGGACGCGATTCCCAGCCCCAGCCCACTGCACTCACACCGGCCGCAAGACGACGTCAGTACCGCCTTTCAACGAGAAACACCAGTATCACCGCTCGAAAACGCACTTCCCGCGCACGAAGCGTTCCAACTTAATCTGAACGCGTCACAACCATCATAAACAAACCTACTTCCGCGCGCGACACGCCCCCACGGGACCGAAAAGCGCCAAACAAGCCACGCACAGTCCCCACCGCAGCGCCGCCGCGCCAGCCAGATGCTGGCGAGGCCGCCGACAGTCCGGCCACTGACCGGTATTGTTGCCGTTGCTGGAGCCCTTGCGCCGGCCGCCGTACACGCCGTGGGCGCAGCGAACGTAACGCGTCAGCTGGCGGTTCTGGGCGTAGAACGCGTCGCCCTGCAGCCACATCTGCGGCTGCTTCTCCACCAGCCAGTGCTGCTGGTGGCCGATGATGGAGCCCGGCCGGCAGATGCGCAGCCAGGCGATCGTCTCGGGCGCCGTCAGCCGGTAATGCTTCATCATGTAGCAGCCGATGAGGGAGCCGGTGCGGCCCAGGCCCGCTGCCGGAGGACGGAACACGGTCAGACGGTCAGGCGGGGCTGGCGAACAGCCGACGCTTCGGAGCGCGGCTAATACACTTCTCCAAACGCCACCACGCAGCGGCGCTCGGAGAAGCGCCACCGCTTTCTATTTCTCATTTTGTTTATTTCGTCGCTAGGCGGCGCAAAACGCACATGCGACATTTCAGCTTCGGCAGGGGCAAAGTTCGCCGCCTATCCGGGCGAAGGCAACGACGGCCTGCGGCCGCTGACTCAGACATCGTCACATGCATTCCGACGCGTCCTGTCCCAGTACGACGGCAAACGTCGCGCCGCGTCGCAGCACGGGCACCTGGCGTGTCAGCGCGCGACTCCACGGCGAGGCCGCCTCCACTGACACGCTAAATCACGGCTGGCATTTAGTCAGCGGCTCGGAGTACGGCCAGTAACGCGACGCGGCACAGAGCGTATGGCCACTGTGAGCTACCAGCGCTGCGGGGAGGCAAACAGAGCAGATCGCAGAAGCCAGGGCGTCTTGGCCGGTGTTGCCAGTGGCCAAGGCGTCTACATTCATAAGTGACTTGCGGACTATCTAGATCACATTCATAATATAGTAAAGTGTTAGATTATTTATGGAGCTTGGCCAGGAGCCCGCGAATAACATAAGTGATGAGGGCACCCTAAAACGGGCCAAGTGCAGGGGTGCACCTCAGATGTCCGCCCAGCCAGTAAACAGAAAAAGCAACTCAGAGACGGTAAGTTCCGCGCCTGGTCAAGTGGTAATGGCCCATTTGCATGGTGCCTTAGCGGCACATGATGCAAACTGCTCCCGTATCATTTACATATTTCCCGTTAGAGCAATCACATGCAATCTATCATCCGAAACGACCACCGTCTGCATTCGGCACAATCCCTCCCCCCCCCCCCCCCCCCAGCCCCCGCAACCCCGTGCAGATCGAGTACCAGCACCGCTCCCGCCCAGCGAACCCCTCCGCTGTGTCGTACCCTTGCAGTGAACGGCGACGGCCCCGGCCGCCTCCTCGCTGATCTCGATGAACTGCTTGGTGATCTGGTCGCTCGGCGTGGAGCCGTCGGTGAAGAAGAGGTCGCGGTGGTCGAAGCCGGCCTTGGTGAAGCGCGCCGCGTCGTAGATCTTCTTGTTCAGCCCGCACGATGGTGGTGACGTTGTGGCGCTGGAAGTACGGGAAGTACGTCTCCGGCGCGTGCAGCGTGTACCCTGCGAACAGCGGAGACATCGGCTTCAGACGACGAAGGCGACCGTCGACGATGGTGCGGGCCGGTTCCGTCCCAGCCGCCGGTCCCGACGACACCGCAGGGCCGCTACGCTGGCGGGCGATACGGCGAGTGAGCCGCCAGGGGAGACAGGAGGTCAGGACCGGGCCCGGCGCCACCTGCTCTTGTCCAGCGGGCGGACGCGCCGCCGCTGCAGCGCCGTCCGCGCGCCACGGACGGCGCCGATGTGCCTGTCGGCGGCTCGCCGGCGCGGCACACAGCTACACAGCACCGCGCACAGCACAGCACGGAACAGCGTCACAGCTAACACAGAGCAGCATTCACAGTTCCGTGGCTTCGTCCCGCTCGGCACCGCGCAGCACGCGCCAACCGAGCCGGTGCGGGCCGCGGGAGCGGGTGGCACCCACAGCCAGACCGGCAGGCGGCATCACCACCACCGCCGGCCGTGGGAGAGGGGGGTCGCTGTTCGGGTGAGACAATGAGACGGTGAGAACGACCGACGCGGGACGGCCGAGCGCGCTCACCGTTCTCGACGCGCGCGCGAGAGTGCGGCCCGCAGAACGCCAGGAACTTGTCCGGCACCAGCCAGTTGAAGTCGCCGTTTTGTACTTTCTGCAACAGGCGAGGGCGAGCGTCACGGTCGAGCCCGTCAAACGATATGGGGGAAGGGCACCTAGCGCTGGTGAAAGGCTCCGTGGGTTTCGCGCGGCGGCGGCGAGTGGTCTCGCGCCCGGGGACGCTGTGGAGGTCTGGGATCGACAGAACTCGGCATGCGCGTGCGCCGCTCGGATCCCAACGCTTCAAAGAACTTCGCATAAAGGCAGCTGAGAGATACGGACAGCTGAGCTGATCACGCGGGCTCTGCAACAGGTCCCATACACAAGCTATGCCACACAAATTTCTTAGAAATGGGAAATAAGCAGGCCCGATCAACACAGCACAGCACCGACCAAAAACACAAAACAAAACAACAACGAAGAATCCGAACATCTTGGGCATGACGGACGAGCCCTCCTAGCAACAGTGATATGCAGCACGACGACGACACGGCGCGCTATTCATCACAAACAACGCCGTCGTAAACAGAGCGACGACCAGCCGCAGGTCGCGGAAACGGCCGCCCAGCAACGCTCGAAGGGGGGGGGGGGGCGAGCCGCGACGGACGGACCCCGTCACACGGCGTCCCGGCCACCCCATCCCTCGTCCCAGCGCCGGAGAGGCGGCAGCGCGCAGAGCCCGCCCGCGGGGTGGCGGCCGGGCGCGGCCGCCGCGCGCCGGCTTGGTGGCCTATGAGCCGGTCGACTGGACACTGTGACGCTGACCATAGATCGGCCCATATGTGTCATCATACGCATCATCACTTTCGCAGTCACAGCAATGTTGTACAAAACGCGTGTGAGCGTAACGCGGTAAGGCATGATGACTAGGTGCCATGTAGTTCTGGAGAAGATCAAGTGTGACTGATTTGAATTCAGGAAGCTACAACCAACTGCGTTGAAGTAACGTTGAAATGATCCAGAAAGCTGCTTCGACACATCATTTCGCTTCAAGAGAGTTGCAGCCCATAGAACCAGTCCGCCTCGTCCATCTCACCTCGTAGTGTTCATACTCGTCCACATCGAAGTCATCGAAGTCGAAGAACCTGAACTTGATGGCCTTGTGCACGCCGTTCAGGCAGTCCAGCAGCGTCAGACTGAACGTGGACGGCCCGAACGCCGCGTCTCTGCCGGGGGAGGATGGGGCAGGTCACGACCCCGCATGGCTGCACGCGCGCCCGGCTCAGCGGCGCCGCGATAACGGAACAGCGGGCGACGCGGCGCGGCCGGCCACGCACGCCAGACGCGCCGCGCCAAGTCGCGAATGCAACGTACGGATCGTAGCGTAGCGAAGTTGCCACGATTTACACATGCCGCGTCCGGAAATAAAGACAGTGGGTGCGTGATACCCCACGCCGATCGGTCCATCATTTCGTGCTGGTGAGCGCCAGCTCTCCCCCAGCTGCGACCCGCGTCACCGCGCCGGGGGGGGGGGGGGGAAGGGGGGGCTGATCCCCGAGCAGCGGTGGTGCAGCGCCGCACCGTGCCGGCGCCGGCTCGGCCACCAGCGCCGGTCGCCAGCGCCGTTGCTCGCAGCCGCTGGCGCGGTCCGCGCGGGGCGTGCCCGACCAATCAGGCCTTGTTCGGCGGGCGCTAAACACGCCACGGCCGCCCGCTGCCAGCGCGAGCGTGCCCGGCTCGCGCGGCCGCTGCGCGCCCCGGGGATCTAGCAAGACGGCTAACAGCTTTCACCGCAACACCACGCCGCCATTTACAGGCGATTTTTGCGGTGTGAACATTTCCCGTACACCGCGGCAAAGACGAATGCGGTGCTTTACATGACGGGGTGCCCGGTCAAATATGGGTGCTGAGGTTTGAATGCGTGTTTAAAAAGTGGTCGCTTAAGCGCACCCAACCCGCGACTGTTTATTAAGATATTAAGGAAGTGATTAAATACAACATACCTCGGGGCCAAACGTGTCAAAACGTTCAAATGTGCACTCACATACATCGCTTTTCAAGACCGAAAATGATCATTTCCCCCTTTCGTTCACGATGTACTGACCCAAAGCCTGACCACTTGACCTTGACTTGGCCGGGCTTTTTCGAACTCCGGCTGGCAATCCGTCTGGCAACCTTCCAACGGTAACAAGAACGTGGGCTCAAAACTAGTTTCAGTTGCTATCAGAGATCAGTTCCTCCACCTAATCTCTATTCGCCGGAATTTTTACCGATCCCGGCGACAGTCACGGGCGTCCGTTGGCACATGCGGGCAGCGGCGGCGCTAGCCGATCAGCCGTCGCCGGCTACTGCACCCCTCTTGCCCACGTGGAGGAGATATGCCAGGCCCGGGGCAGGCTGATGGCTCGTCCGACAGCGGGGAAGGGGTACGTGGCCCCAGGTCTGAACGCACTGACACTGGCTTCAACACATATGGGCCGGAGATGTCGTCTGATTTATGACAGACTCGCCCAGCTGGTGTAGCGCAACTAGCCGAGGTGTTCACGGAACCGACGAGCTGTGCTATCGGAGACCAAGACGGGTTGGTGGCGCGCAGGCGACGTTCAACACGCCCCGCAAGGCAGCCGTCTTCGCCCCGCTGCAGCGCGCCGCGCGCGACTTTATCACCCGCCCGTTCCGTCCACACAGGCTGCTTGGCCACCGGCGGAGGCGGCGGCGTCGGAGTGATGGCCGCCCACCCAGCGCGTCCGCCGCGCGCGACAAACCAGAGACGGGCAGGGCTACGCGGGCCAGCCGTCCACAACGGTCACAAACCGCTCCCCACCCGCCAGCCGACCAAACAACGGGCCAGCGCCGCCACCACAGCCAGGGCATTACGAGAAACGCCACAAGATTAACGCGCGCTGGCACTTGTCTCCATCAACCGCAGCGCAAACAACTCCGCCGTCGGACAAGCGCGCCGGCGGCGGCCGTCAAGCCGCCGCCGCACCGCCGCCGGCGCCGCGGCCGTCGTCTGCGACCGCGGCGGTGTCGCCGCGTCGCCGCCGCCGACAAACTCGAGCTCGTTAGTCGGTCTCGGTGCGTCACGCGAGACGAACGGCGGCCACAGCTCAGCGGCGCGCGGCGCCGGCCCCCCGCCGTCGGCGCGGGCGGCGGCGGCCGGCCGTACCTGAAGCCGAGCAGCGGCGGGTTGGTGCCGCCCACCAGCGGCCGGTACGCTTCCTCCGGCGTCCGGTTCAGGTAGATCACCTGCGGCAGATACGGCGGGCGACGCGTCACGAGGGCGGCGGCGAGACGCGACACGCCAGCGGCCAGTCGTCCGCCACACGCGTTACGACACAGACCGGCTAACGATCCACACTCACGGGGGGGGGGGGGGGGAGGCACCCGCAGATCCTGCACACCTGTCATCACTCGTGCTGCTAGACTGCCGTGGCAGCCATGACGGACACGTAGCATTGCACGGTACGAATTAAAGATGGCGGCCCTGCAGCTGTTCTGGCTGGCCACAGGTGGATCAAAGTGGAAGTGAAGTTATCCAAACGGCTGGACCAACACAGCCACATATCGCGATCCACCCAGCAGGCTATTCCCAGCAAAGCGTCTGCTACCGCGGTCATAATCGCAGACTTCCCTTTACGCTGTCTTTGTGACAACGTGGACGCGCCTATTCAGGGCCTAGGCCTATTCAAACCGTTGTGGAAGTAAACATGGTTGGGTTCCAGAGCTTCGCGGGCTGTGACACCAGTCTACTGACACCACAGAATGAGGCTGATTGGAGAAAAACGACGAGAAGTAAGGACCCATCAATTTACCAGCACGTGTTCCTGACAAGTCATATTTGTGAACATCACAACGACTAAAAGGAAAGCAGCTGGGGTCCAATCGGCCAAGAGCGGGATGTCAACACACGGGTTCGATGTCAGACGTTGTACCGCATCCGCGCGCCGTGCGGTGCCGTGTAGTACCGTCGCCGGCCACCAGACGGCATGTCGGTCGCCGAGCCACGCGCCGGGCGGGCCGCCGCGTCCTGTTTATACCCCACTCCATCGTTTACGAGCCTCAACAGGCGGCCGGCAATCTCCAAGGCAAACAGCGCGAACGGGCCGGATCCGAGGCGACGCCGGCGACGGCGGCGGCGCTTCCGGCGCGGCCCAGCGCCGCCGCCGCCGCCGCCGCCGGCAGCCGATCGGTCGTCGCCGCCGTCGACCGACCACCGAGCAATCAGCGGTCGCGTAACCGCTCCTGATCGATGGCGCGACCTCGATTCGGCCGGCCGGTCGCTCGCGGGGTGCGAATTGAACCGCAGCCCGGCCGGCCGCCATCCGGCCAATCGCTGCCGCTCGCCCGTCGACCAGCGCGCGGCGGCCGAGCCCGGCTGCTGCGACCGGCCAGCCCGGAGCGGCGGCGGCGGCGGCGGCAGTCCGGCCACCTGTGCGCGGCGCGCGGTGTCATGGCCGCCCGGACAGGTGACGCGCCGCGGCGCGGCCGTGACGTCACGCGGCGGCGCTCGAGCGGCGGGCGGCATGTGTGGCGCCGGCCGAGCAAGCCGCGCTGCACCGCACCACCCGCTGCACCTGCCTGACGCGACGGCCTCCGTCAAGACGGGACGGGTGAAGGCGAGCGGCGCTGCCGACCGCGCAGCAGCTTGCGCCGGGGGAGCGGCGGCGCCTCGCGCGCCGGCCGGTCTGTCGCGCCGACGCCTCTGAAGGGCACCGCGCGCCCCGGGTGATGAGGGTGCGGCGGCGGCGCGCGGTCGGGCGGCGCCCGCCCACGCCCGGCGACATGGACCACCGGGTCCGCCTGACTGACCCCGATCCAGTCACGGCGCCGGAAGCGGCCCCCGCCGCCGCCGCCGCCGCCAATGCTGGCGGTGGTGACTGGTGGGCGGCGCCCCGGAGCGGGCGCCACTCGACCGAGGCGGATGGAGACGCAGAGGTCGCACGGTGCCATCCCGAGGACCGCGGCCGGCCGGCGGCGAAGGTCCGGAGGAACTGCTGTCACCGGCTCAGGCCGGGTCGAGGCAGGTCGTAAAGTGACGTGAGATGGCAGCCTCTTTCCAGGAGAGCCTGGGCCTGTGGCGCATCCCTCCCACGTCTGTGAGCCCAGGCTGTAACCCACAGCCGCCGGCTTCGGCCAGACTGCACGACTGGCTACACCCCCCCCCCCCCCCCCCCGTCTGGTCCTGCCGAAGATGTCGTCCCGGCGGCTTTGAGACGGCAGGTGTCTGATGCTGATCGGCCACCTCCATCCGGTCCCAAATGCCTGGAGAACACGCCAGCTGGCGGCGCCGCCGAGGACGCTCGGCGTGCGCTGGCCACATCGCGTAGGTGGCGACTGACGCGAGCGTTACGAAAAAGCCCGCAGCAGGAAACGACTTTCCTTTCGCGGCGCGGCGTTCGCGTTTCTCCGTCCCGCCACAATCGCCCACCCCTCCGCCTCCGTAGACCGCCTGCGCTGCCTCTCCCCCGCGCATCGTCGCTTCGCCGCACAGCGTGGGCTTTAAGCGGCCACAAGACTGCGGCCGTCGCAGCGACTCCGGCCGGCTCTGGCCGGCTCGGCGCGGCTGCGGTTCGGCGCCGTCCGGCGCCGTTACTTCCCCACGCTGGACCTGCCCGCCAGCTAGCCACCAGCCAGCTGCCTGCCAGCCGCCAGGCGTAGGTCAGCCGGCCGCCATGCGATGGACGGCACGGGACGGGACGGGATAGGACGGAACGGGGGACGGGACGGGACAGGGGACGAGACGGGACGGGGGACGGGACGGGACGGGGGCGGGACTGACACGCAACGCCAGCCTGTTGCTCGCCTGCCGCGCCGCCACCTCACGCCCGCCGCCCGACCGACGCACGGCAGCCAGCGAGGTCACGTCAACATCACGAACGCGCCCGCCCGCCGGGCCCGGCGCGGGGCGCGGGGGCGCCAGCGAGGCCGGGCGCTCTTTGATGCTCCGCCCGCCGCCGTCGCGACACGGCGTTTACGCCCGCGCGCGCGACTCCGCCTCGGGTGCTGCGATGCCGCCCGCGTGCCCGTCGCCGCGATGGCGCGCGCCGCCATTAACTTTGCAGCGGTGCGACGTTCCTTGCGCGGCTGCGACTCCGGCTGCCACGGCGCGCTCATCCGAGACGGCGGCGGCGGCGGCGGAGGCATGGGGAGGCTGAGGGGACGGCGCGTCGGCGTTGGTCACGTTACTGAAGCGTGCGGCAAGCTCGGCAGGGAAGAGTACGGAGAAGGGAAGGGTGCGGAGAGGGGAAGGGTACAACTGACCGCGATCAATGGCGACCGGATATCAAGGAGAGCCCAAAAGGTGAGGAACACCGAAAACCACATGTATTTGGATTTCCTAATTACGGCCGCACTCTGTGGTATCAAATACCGCGAGGCTCTCTTCCCTGCAGGCAACGCGCACACAAAGCGTTAAACAAACGACACAACCCAAAGCATCAAACAACGGCGGAAAGTAACGAGAAGGATGGGGGATGTCATGGCCCCTGAACCACACGGGCAAGCATCCCCCGATCAGGAGGCAAAGCCGGACAGGTCTCCATCCCGTCACGCCGTCGGAGCGTCTCCGCCCCCTGCCGGTGGGTTTCCGTGCCGGAGCTCAGAGCTGACCGCGCCGCCTGCAGGCGCTCGTCGGACAGGGCCGGGTCGCCAGCCGCCGGCTCCCGGTGTTCACCGACGCCACCGGCAGCCGCGGCGCCGCGTCCCAGGCCCCGGCACCGGCCGCACCCACACCAGGCGGCAGCGCCGGCCTCCAGCTGAGAGGCACAGCGGACCTTGAGCGGCCGGCGCCTCTCCGACCGGCGTCCTTCTCAAGGCTCGCCTCGCCGCCCGTCCCGGATCGAGCCCGTCGGCAGTCGCGGCACGTCCCCGACAAAGACGTGCCAGATCCGGAGATTAAGCGCATTCGGCTGCGGTGGTGACCTTTGCCCAGTTAGCTTGACACAATGCAAAAGTAGCTCGGGAGGCTATATCTATATTAGGATGTCACTTCTGTTTAATTTGCTATGAAAAAGTTATGTGTTTGTGTCGAATGTTTGGGACGAGGAGTCCGCCGAGATGGAATGCCTTTGCGGGCTATCGTCCCCGTCACGTGCTATCGTCTACACATTGTGTAAAGAACACCGCCATTGACGAGGATCACAGCCCGAATAATTACGACAAACCGCTATCCTTATTACCGTGAGACCGCATTCACGTTACTACGGTTCTATGCACCACCTAATTACTATTTACACGAGGGCGTAACGGAGCGAGGCGCATCCCTTCACGGCGCGTTGCCCCGAGTGAGCGGGACGGGCATGCCTGCGTCCACATCCCTCATTCCACGGGCGCCAGGGTGGACAACCGCTCCCGCCGGACCGCCACTTACCGCTCCTGACTTCACCGAGCCGTCGGCGACACGGCCGAGCGCCCGTCAACGTACCCCGCGTCGAGACGACACAAACATCCCGAAACACGGCGTCCCTTGTGGGCCACGCCACAGAAACAAGTCACAAAAACGGCTCCCGATCGGTATAAAAACAAACGGCCGGATGCCCCACCAGCTAGCTGTTCGCCGACGGAAGCGTCCAATCACACGGGCCCCGCCGACGGGGGAAGGGCGGGGGGAGAGGGAGGGGGCGGGGACGATGAAACACCGGACGTCGCTCCGGTGATTGCCGCTGGCGCTCACCGAGCAGAGCAAGCCACTTGAAGATGACTCGGGATTAACGGCGCTCTAAATGCCTGGTTATGTAGCCCTCAAAGATCGGGAGGCGGCCCATTGAAGCCAGGTGGGCTTTCCTTGGCACAGACGGGGGTTGTGTGAGCCCCAAGGCGAGTCTGCCTCCAATCAACCGCCAACGGCCCTCAGGCGGACCGCTGAGGGTAGCACCCGTAGCGTTAACCTGCCGCGCACACCCCGCCGGGGGGCGGCGGGCGCCCCACCGCCGGCTGGCGGGCGCGGCAGCCGGGGATCCGCCCGGTCCCCACTCCAGCCGGGGGTCCGCCCGGTCCCCGCTCCAGCCGGAGGTCCGCCCGGTCCCCGGTCCGCCGAGGTCCCCCTTCCTGCTCCAGCCGGAGGTCCGCCCGGTCCCCGCTCCAGCCGGGGATGTCCGCTCGGCGGTCGACCAGCAAGCGGCGCCGCTCAGGCGGTCAAGGTCAGCCAGCCGCCGGCCGGACCGTCACGGCCCGCAGAGCTGGCGCCCGTCACCGCCCGCCTGGTGACGGCTGTCAGACGGGCCAAGGCTGGCGCCCGTCGCGGCCGC